ATCGTTTAAAATCGAGAAATAAGCAGCTATCTGATCAGATATTTTTTGGTCTGTTTCGATATCAACTCTAACGTCGATCGAACCTCTAAAAGTTTCGTGCTGTCTTAAAAAATCAATAACAAATAATGGTGTTACATCTCTGAACTCCTTTATCTATGCTCTAATCGTCGTTCGTGACACGACTGTTGAAATCTTGCATACTGTTCGTATAATAAAGAAAACGTATCGAAAGTAAACGACATGCTATTAAAAGTATTAAACGGGGAATTAATATTTCTAATATATATATATATATATATATATATATATATATATATATATATATATATATATATATATATATAATATGTGTGTGTAATACAATTATATATATATATACCTATATTATATATATATATATATATATATATATATATATATATATATAAATATATATTATATATATATATACCCTAATAATAAAAAAACTTCAAGCGCTTATATAATTACAGAATCTTTTGAGCGTAGTGATATAATGAGTGTTTAATCATTTATTTTTAGAAATATTTAGTACCAGGCTCAATACGTTGATTATGTGTTGTTGCTATATAAAATCGAAAATAAAACAAAATCTAAAAAGTAAAAAACTATATTTTTTTCTTAATAAAATTCTATATTTATACCAAAACAGTAGTCATTAGCGCGACCATTTCCTGGTTCCTTCGATCAGGATACGAAGGGCAACATAGTCACCTTAACCGATTAGTAAGCATCCGTTCCAAATTTGAACCCAGAACCATTAGCGTCACCATTAACAAAACTCATGACTTTATTATGAATAACTTTTTTAAAGATTTTGGAAAAGCTTGGTAGCTTGAGCAATTTTTAGGCAATTTGTACCTGTTTCTTACATTAGGTTTATAATATACATTATCGGTTCTGTAATATACTTTAAAGATTGTTGAAATAAAATATGATCGTAGCCAAAATATTTTTTCGCTTTCATTTGATTAACTATTTTACTAATATCATATAAGTTAATCGGTGATAAGAAAACACAGTTGCAATTAAAAGAATTATTTAGAATTTTATAAGATCCATCATTAGAATTTTGGTAATTACGTGTAAGTAATAAGTTATTAAAGTGTTTTAGCTTTTATTTTATTAACACTAGATTCTATATATTTTATATTAGACTTCCTTTTCGATTCAACTATTACCGCTTTCATTATTCTACAATATTCCTTATACGTAGGTCACTCAATAAGTTTTGATATGCTTGAAATTTAAAAATGGAACGCACCCGTGTTATATGTTTCTAAAAAGCAAATTTATTTAAAAATGGAAGTTCATAAGCCAATTGCTCAATATTAAAAAACAACAAAGTTGTAGGGTGACAAACCAGCACACAGTCCACCTGATGGTAAGTGGTTGCTGTGGCCCATACACTTCTACATCTATCCTCAATTACGAATCAAAATGCAGATGCGTTGTCACCCGTGGAATGCCTCGTTTACAAAATATAGTATATAAATAGATTTTTTAAGTTGTTATACCTGTCAAATTGTTTTGAATATAACTATTTATATTGATTTTATGGCGTTAAATTAACTTATTTTTATTTCCCGACGTTCCGAGTGCTTTACAGCACCCATGGTCACGGGGGTACTGTCCGCCCCGATATAATCCGTATAAACAGTTTTATTCAATGTGTAGTGATCGCTTAAATATAAGAAATAATTACGTCAAATTCAATAGTTTGATGTAAATTTCTTATTTTCTTTATTTATTTTTGGTTTTTTATTATATTTTGTTATACTATTTTTAATAGATGTGTCTACAAATGTACTTTACACAATGATATTTGTGACGTGTTGCAATAAATGTTCCTTTATTTTATTTCTTTAAATTAGGAAGTTACAAATTGCTTATAAATTAGTTCTGAACTCACAAGAAGCTCGTGGGAACATAAGCAAATTTCACGACGGCGCACATTTACACGTGTCTTAATAAAACATTCTACAAAACGTGACACGAAGAAAATCAACAAACGTTTTACAATTAACTCACGGTTTTAATTATCCCTATCATACTGTAATATTTTATTGTAATATTTCTCCTACTTCATATTGTTATAAACGCATCCATTCATACGGGAATACTTTTACCGAAAATAATCCTATCTTTGATACGGTGACTACTGTGTCACGACCCCCCCCCCCTTTTTATGAAACGACAACGGTTGTAATAGACGACTAAATAAAAATTGAAGTTACAGCTTATATACGTCTCACAGCTGGGTACAGGCCTATTATTTATGAGAGGTTTTTAGGGCAAGGAAACGCATGTTGCCGAACTTCACATGTCTTCTAAATTTTTTTAAATTTTTTTTCTGACAGTTTTCCTTCACCGCGGAGACCGTGGTAAATAAGTATTTAAAATTGCAACTACCAATTTCTTTGGTGCCGGCGGGGATCAAATCCTGGTTGCTCACGTACTGCGAGTTTTACTCTTGTTTAGAAGACTTAATAAAGAAATAAAATATTTTATTTACCAGAGCCCTGAATTTATTCTTTTGACCATCCAAGAAGATACATTTGTTCCTTTGAGCTAGACTTAAGGGATGATTGTGACAAAGGTGAAGTTATATATAGCCACCGTGTCAAGGATGATACTATTTCCGGTAAACGTATTCCGGTAATGAATACATCCCACGAACAACTACTATTACTAATTCCATTATCTTTTTATGTAACGGTAATGTAAATTTTGTAATTTTGTTATAAATATATTATTTATGATCACATTTGATTATAAATGATTTATAATTGGTTAAAATTAACTAGCCTATGATGCACGCTGTGCTAACCTATACTTAAAACAACATTTAGTTCCGTATCGTAAAATTAAAATAATCTATGTCTTATTAGTTATCCTTAATAAATTAAATTAATTAATTAATTAAAACGTAAGTGCGAAAAAGGACCCAGTTACGGAGATAAGGCAGCACTCGTGCTAACCAAGTTGATTTTCTACAACTATCAACGCTAACAGAAAACTTTATATTGAATGAAATCAAAATTAAGGCCAGATTGGACAAATATCATATTTTAGACTGATAATAAGCAAAAACGTTTCATATAAAGTAACTTTTTACCACCAAATGTCGCACGCTTACCTTGTGTTGGACAAAGACGTGGTGGAGCCACGCTGCAGCTCTTTATGTTACGGTCGGTTCGACTGAGGTATGACCTTGTTTTTACAAAATACCAGCGTAAAATAGCAGCCTAATACTAATGTGCTTCGTATGGTAAATGTGAAAAACCAAAGACCCTTTTTACTGGTAACGTGGCATTCCATCTTTATCCTCAGGGGTGACAACACTCAGCATTTTTATTCTTAATCGAGGATAAATGTAGATGTCTATGAGTCACAGCATCCACTTACTATCAGGTGAACTGTGTACTGTTTGTAACTTTTATTCTATTAAAAAAAGCAAAAAATGTAGAAGCGGAGAAGAGAATAATCTTTGTCTTAATACTTGTCATAACATATCGCATTGTATCTTAACAGTCATGTGTTAAGATACATTGCGATATGTTATGTCTGTTCATTTTTACAGTTTTCTATAAGCGATAACGGTTGTAAAAAGTCAACTAACCTAGCGGAATAAATGAAAAGTTCCATAGCATTTCCTAAAATCATACCTATAATAATGTACAATGTAATTTAATTGGTTTTTAAACAATTTTGGTACGTTCTTTGTTTTCATTTAAACGAATTAAAATAGTAAAAAAGCCTCTATTATTTTTGAAACTATATAATTAAGGATACATATTGTTGCGCGCCACAGTTTATGCCCGGTGCATGGCACTAGCGCCATCTATTATCAAATGGAAGAAGTAAGCTTTCTAGAAAACTCCACACTCGAATTTTCTACACCTAGCCGGTCGAGACTGGTATTTACTGGAACATTCCAGATGTTTCGGTGGAAAAGTTCTAGTTAAGGGCCGCGACCGAGGGCAGTATTGAATTGGCGATACAAGCGAAGACTTAGGAGCGAAATAAAGTGAACTAAAGTGTTAAGTCTGAACTAATAATTAAATTAGTGTGATTGTTCTATAAAGTGTCAATTTTGGTAATTCAATCGGCAGTTTTTATTGTCACGAACACTAAGCTCGTAACAATATGTATTATTGTGAGATTCTTTGAATTTAGAAAAAAGTAAACTCCGAGAAACGAATATGAAAATGGCCTTAGTTAATGTGATTGTGAATTCTTAGAAAGAAGTGTTTAATATCTTTGCATTATGTAAGTATTTATAGAAGAGTTTTCGGAACTTAGTTTTGGAGATAATAAGAACATCAAAAAGAACTTATAGCAGCGGTGTAAAGATAATCCGTTACCTTACTGTGGGAGTCGTAAGTTTGACAGAAGCATTGAAACAGCACACGGGCAACAGTATCTTCCTTATAATACAATATGCCAATTCGTTTTCCAAGCGTGGCAACTACGGCAAAAATCTCCGCTGTGGGCTACCTATGTGGATGGCCTTTCTTCAGCAGTAATCATTTGATAGTCTGTGATGAGTAAAGAATGAAAATAAGCTTTATTAGAATAAGCTGGTAAAGGCCAGTGCCGGCACTCCTGAATTTATAATTTATGATCATGTGATTTGTGATGAAGTCATTTTTCATAATATGTCCTTAGTATTACAAGAATTTCAAATAACTCTCGAAGTAGAAATAGCTTCGAGACAGCGTGTACGTGTAATTAAATTATACAATGCCCAGTCATTTTCTTTAACATCTTTGGCTGCATCACGATGCAGTAGTGGCCACAAATATTTAAAATGAGGTCCTCGATAAAGCAGTCTTTTAGAGTGTGATAGGTGGTATGTGCGTAGGACTCCTATTATTAGCTTTAAACAACGCAAGCTCACTTGACAGATAAATATATATACTAGAACCAAAACCTTGTCTAGGGGGTGTTGCTCGATTGGTCTGCAGGACCAGAACTATATGCAATGTACAGAATGCACCAAACTTTATCATCTTGAATGTCTGTCAATACCAAGCAATGAAGACGATCCTACCACGTCTACGTGGCTGTGCCCTCAATGTCATGGAACGCAAAAATTGGGTAATAACGATAACACCCTGGTTCGCTACAACCCAAATATAACTGTGAGGCCGGGAAAAAGGCAAGTTTTGAACTCCCCACTAAAGGCTTCAGATGAAAGGCCAATAACAAGGGACGAGATGCAAGAAATTATCAAGGACGTAGTGACTCAATTCCAAAAGACAATGCGCATCACCATATCGGACATCCTAGGTACTGAATTAAAATCTTTGAAGGAGGAAATAGTGGATATGAAGAAGTCTATGAATTTCATATATACAAAGTATGAATCTATCACAAAGGAGCATGCAGAGGCCAACGATAAAATAAAACTCCTAGAGACAGAAAACGGTGCACTGCAGTCAAAGGTTGAGGACTTGTCTAATCGATTTAATCTTATGGAACAAAATGCTAGAGTGAATAACATTGAGATCCAATATGTTCCCGAGAGGAAAGATGAGAACCTGTTGCACATCGTAACAGAACTAGGCAAAACAATAAATTGTCAAGTATCCACGGAACACTTAGCCCACTACACCCGTATTGCTAAACTAAATAAAGACTCCAGCCGCCCTAGGTCTATTGTATTGCAATTTAACTCGCCAAGTATGAGGGACAAATTCTTGGCAGCAGCGATCAAATATAATAAACTGAAGCCTCAAGAAAGGTTAAACAGTTCAATTTATATATGAACATCTCTCCACCCACAACAAGGCCCTCTATGCAGCATCAAGACAGGCGGCAAAGGACAAAGGTTATAAATATGTCTGGGTGAGAGGCGGTCGCATTTTCATGAGGAAGACTGAAGACTCTGAATTTAAAATCATCAGAAACCTAGAGACACTTGACAAGTTGCCTTAGTTCCAAACCTAACTTATTTTTTTTTTACAAAATTTTGAATGTACCCTATTTTACCCATTTTAAAAGAGATAAGAATATATTACCAAAACGTTCGTGGGTTGCGTACAAAAACACAACTTTTTAAGGGAAGTCAATTGTAATAATTATGATGTAATCGTTTTAACTGAAACCTGGCTTAATAGTAGCATTATGAGCAATGAGTTATTTGATGACAGATACGAGATATACAGAAGAGACCGGGAAAGAAAGGGGTTTTATGAGAGTAAGGATGGGGGAGGAGTCTTAGTTGCGGTACTAAAAACTATCAAATCGGTTCGGAAGTTTGAGTGGGAAAGTAAATGTGAAGACATTTGGGTGGTTTTGGATTTGAAAATTGAAAACTCTGTCCATCAAATAGCTCTTTGCGGTATTTACTTACCACCTCCGGTGAACAGGCTAATGTTGGAGTATTTTGTAGAAAATTGTACCTCAGTCATAACAAGTAAATTTCATTCACACCTGTGCTTTGTTGGTGGTTTTAACTTAGGTAATATAAATTGGAATTTGGTACATGATTTGTCGAATAACTATGTTGCTCCTAGTCCAAGCCAAGCATTAATAGATTTAGTTCATTTTATCAAGCTTAATCAAATGAATAACATTCTTAACAAATCGGACCGCTTGGTAGTCCTTGTACTGACTAACCTATCATCGTGTATGTGTACAGTAGCAGGATCAGTTAATATCCTTAGTATCGTAGATCCTCTACATCCCCCTATTGAAATATTAATAAAAAGAAATACTGATACTGCACTACCGTATAACATCGATACTAAAATACACAATTTTAGGAAAGCCGATTATACTCAGATCCGCCTTTGTTTAGCTGAATATGACTGGAATGAAATGTTTCATAACCTGAATGTTAATGAAATGACAAACTTATTTTATGATATAATTAATAATTTAATAAATAAGTATGTGCCCTACAAAAAAAATAGGAAATAATTCTTCTCCTCCTTGATTTATTGTTTCATTAAAGAGAATGTTACGTGAAAAGGAGAACATAAGAAAGCGGTATAAAAAATATAGGAATCACATGGACGAGGTTGAGCTGCTGCTACTTAATAAGCGTTGCTGCACACTAGCAAATCAATCTCATAAAAATTTATAAAGAAGACAGAAGATAGTATTAAGTCGAACCCTAAACTTTTTTGGTCATTTATTAAGGCAAAAAAGTACGGGCAAGTAATTATCCTTTTACAATAACTGATGGTAATAAGAAGTCATCTAGTCCTAGGTAAATCTGCGACTTATTTGCGTCCTAGTTTGGAGCTATGTATAATTCTCAAGATAACATAAACTCAGAGTTGAATTTCAGCCAATGGAATTTGATTTGCAATTACAGCCTTGAACAAACTGCTCCCTACCTTAGCAAGGACCAGATACTGAAAAGCATGAAGTCCTTAGATCTTAATAAGGGCCCAGGACCAGATTGTGTCCCTCCTTTATTCATTAAGGCATGTGTGGATGAGCTAGTGACGCCTATATATCTAATTTTTAAGAAGTCTCTTAAATCCGGCCTATTTCCTGATGTTTGGAAGTCCGGTAAAGTTGTTCCAATTCACAAGGCCGATAACGTCGAGGTGGTAGGTAATTATAGGTTTATTTCAATACTGTCAACTTTAAGTAAAATATTTGAATCTCTTGTTTATCCTGTGCTGCAAAACTACTTGAATCATTATCTTACTGAGTGGCTGCACGGTTTTGTTAGATTTAGATCAACCTGTTCCAATCGAAACTTGTTTACTGTAACTTTGGTAGAAGCAGAAGATGATGGTAGGGATGTTGATGTAATATATACACACCTTAGTAAGGCATTCGACAAAGTACCTCATAATATTCTTATATGTAAATTGCGTGCATATGGTATTACTGGCTCATTATTTGGATGGTTGCAGTCGTATCTGGATAATCGTAGTTTTAGTGTGGTCGTTAATAGTTTTCAGTCCGCACCATACAAAATTACGTCGGGGGTTCCTCAGGGATCACATTTAGGTCCTCTGCTTTTCAACACCTTCATCAATGACATACCTAGTTGCTTCCAGTTCTCCATACCATTTATGTATGCCGAGAATTGAAATTGGTTGGCATCTGCGAAACTCTAGAGGACATCGAACAGTTTCAATGTGATGTTGACCGTATGGTAAATTGGTGTCGAGACAATGGTATGTACCTGAACACAAACAAGTGCTACCGTATGAAATTCAGTAGAAAGATCAAGTCACTGAACACATCATACAAAATTAACGGCGACATCATTAAGAAAACAGAGGAAGTCAGAGACCTGGGAATAGTGTTCGATAAAAAATTAACCTTCGTTCCCCACATCGAGCATACGCTTACAACAAGGGCGTATAGAATGCTATAGAATGCGAGGATTTGCGGTCTATCAAATCTGATGTAATGACGGGGGCGATCAAATCAAATCAAATCAAATCAAATCAAATCCTCGCTATAGAACACCGATTCCTTCCAAGGATGATTCGCGAGGCTATTGAAATCAAAAAACATCCTAATTTTAATAGAGAAGATGGCTGGGTGCTACCATCTGCTTGGGATCCTATAATAAATAAAATTAAATCCCAACCCAAGCATACAACTGCAAGACTTCAAGTTACCATAAGTTCATACTGCATAGATCGGAACAAAAGTTAAATTTTAATCTATGGTAACCGCGGTTAACTATGACATATGGACGTTGAACATCTCAGTCCCGCCCGTGACCATGAGTGCTGTAAAGCGTTCGAAACTTCGGGTATTTAAAAAGTTAAATATACGCGATAAATTCCGTAAAAACTAGTATTATTTCAATGTGTAGTGTTCGCGTAAAAATAAGAAATCATTACGATTAAGATTCTTTAAAATTTTATCCCTGGAAAATCGGAGAAATTTGCTTGACCGGTCATTTCTTGTAAAAATTTTTAATCAAAAAATTAACTCCCCTCTCGCTCCAAAAATTTAAATTTCTTGTTCCATTGAGAATTCCTCGCGCCCCTATTACTCCACTTTGCCCTCCTTTTAGAAAATCTGTCTTAGGTGCAAACTCCCCAATTCCAAGGTTGTGCAAATTGGTCAATGGACATAGTGACAAAGTTGACATTCACGCCGACTCATTTGCCAAAACAAGGGAAGTTCTAGCTTTAGCCTGGTCTGAACCAACAAATAAATAATAATAATTTTTTTTACCACATACTTATTTTCATTATTAGGTAATTTATACTTTTTTAATTCGTATTTGTAATCTTTCTCGATACATGTGGTGTTTACCTTAAACGATTGTTACACTTAGCTACGTTAGTTAGTTCTTAAGCCATTTTGTTAAATACAGTGTAATCAAACATTGGTAAACCTTAATAAATATAAAAAAAAAAACCATCACAGCTCATGCTTAATGCATGTTACTTTTTTGAATCAAATTTTATTTTATTAAACAAGTAGTTTAATTTATGTCTAGCTTGTTAAATTTATAGTGAATTCAAACTTCAAACTCTAATGCGTTAAAATATTTGAAGCACCAGCACCCGGCTTTCCACGTTATGCAATCTTGTGTAAACTTAGAGCAACAATGTTGTGGAGTTTTGAATACTTTATACCTCGCTGCCGAGTTTCTCTGTTATAACGCAAAGTAAAGGTAATAATAAAAAGCGTAGACTTTTACGTACAACACTTTAATAAATAAATATATTTTTAATAAAGTAACAGATACAAATAATAAATTATAGTTTAAGAAAAAACTATGGTAATCCTGATCCGGATACTAGGATAAAGTTATAATATATTCTGATCGGTCCTTGATATGAGTGCAAATTTTCAAGTCTACAGCCGTCTTTTTAAAAGCGTGTAAATAAAAAGATACTTTTTATCAGTTTTATTTTTTGGTGGTCACCAGTACGAATGGGTTAGGTTGACCTAAGAGGGATCACAAGCTCGCAGAATACTAACGTTAAGAAATCATGTTTTCATTTTTGATTGGATTCAGTACTAATGGGTCGGATGTCGATGTAGCAGTATAATGCTGTCGTATTTTGTACGAGTGTTTGAGAGACGGGACTTTCAATGATACAGTATCCAATAACAATCATGTGAACTGTGGTTGTTTGTTTTTCGTACTAATATAAAATATCTTCATCATCATCATTACAGGCCATAAGGAGATCACCGCTGAATAAAACCTCCCTCATACATTTTTATAGATTTCCATGAAAATCAGTCTTGAATCACCTGCATTCACTCGGGAACCTTCCGTCCTCATCGGTTGTCGGTATTTCGACCAGTCCAAAAAATATTTTAATAGCATAAATAAGCACTTTTATAATATTTTTTCTGAATTAATTTACATTGATATGACAATAAATAAGGTACATGAATTTGGTATTTTGTAAGAGCTAGGAAAAAATATTTTTATTGAATAAAATTAATTTCAAATATTTTTTATGTTGTGAAAAATAATGTTGGCGGTACATGTATAAACCACAATCCTTACATTGTCCTTGCGTAGTAGGTCATTCACCGAGATATTGATTTCCTTTTCTAAAGTGCTTCACGCATCATTTATGGAAGGGAGGGTCTAAAATATAAAAATGTACTAAAATATTAATAAGTCTCGTTAAAGTTTATCTAATGCTAAATCCTTATCGGCCCGTGGCACCGTACCATGTAGTGGTGGTGTAAGAACATCTACCAACCCATATCATTCTGCAGACGTCGCAAGAGGAGACAAAGGGAAACAAATGAGGAAATAAGCAGCAGCGTCTTCCTAACAACGACTAAAAACTGCGGTTGCCAATCCACTTGCAAAGCGTGGCAACAATGGAAAATATCCCCCTTGTGAGATAGTATACGGGGAACTCCTATGTTCGTTAGTGGACTTTTGTTAAGCCGTAATAATGATGATGATGTAGTCTTCCCATGGGTGTAGTAAGAGGCGAAAGGGGGAGAAAACCTAGGAGACGAGCAAAATTGTCTTCCTTATAACAAATATAAAATAAAAACTACGGTTACAAACTTGCCTAGCGTGGTAATTATGATCAATATCCACCTTATAAAGCGTATTATCAGCAGTGGATTTTGATATACTATAGATATTAGATAGACTACAATGAATAAATTAATGAATTAAAAAATATTAATTCAATAACCAATAATAGATTTTCAATTCGTAGATGAAAAGAAGCATCGCGTTCTTCATCTCCTCTTTTCGTATACCACACCCGGATGGGTTCGGGAAGCAGTTCGGTGGGCGTTTTCCCTGATAGAACATTCGACTTAGAACCTTAACCAATCTCTCAAAAGAGAGTAGTTGACGACTAAGATTACGGGCCCCAAAGAATGGTCCCGGTTCTGATGTCTGTCATGTACTTTGGACTGTATATCTTCTAACTTCCCTACTTCTAATGCAGACACTGGAGAAATAATACAGCAATTGTACGTAAGTTCCCCTTGGGAATGTGATATCCAATTTTTACTTTCACAACTTTAACTTAACTTTTTCTAATTTCGTTTTATTTCTTGAATTATAAATGTAGCTTAATCCCGAATTCCTAAATGAATTGAAAATTGGGTATGGGTGAACCTTACCCTCTTCCCGAACGGACGAGCATTCGGTGGGTGACCCAACTTCTTGTTGAGTAACTCAAAATGCTTCGTCCAGTCCGGGAGGCAATCTGCCACTATGGGCGGGTATCTTTTAGCGGTTTCCTCATCTGGTTTTGGTTTTGGTGCCTCAGCTATCCTGGTCCTTGGTACTGCTGGGGCAGCTGCCAGTTGGGCATAGCTTGTTGAAGGCCTCTGACCATCATCTGATGGCAGGCCTGACTGGTTGGTGTTCAGCGCGGACAATGAGTGCCCGGCAGATGGCGCTAGGGTCGCATAGGTGGTAAGACGACTTCCCACCCTTCGGACTTTTCTCCTCCTTGCTCTAGATCAGCAGCATCCATGCTACTATGGTGATTCGGTGATCTGGGAGGTGTTGATTTGTTTGGCGATGGCGATTTGGGTGGCGTTCTACGGATCTTCGGCCTTTCTGGTTGTCGACAATCGCTTTCCTCTTTGGATGTCGAGGATTCCGAGGAATATGGAGAACCGAAGCATTGTCTCTTCTCCTGGAGAGATGCAGCAGTCTCGGGTGGGGTGTGCCTTCGTGGCGTTTTCTTTGCCCGCTGTTGTAGGCGCAACGGTTCACGGCCAGTTGTGCACTCAGGTACGACGGGTGAGAGCGCGGCCCTTGGTGCGGGCTCTTTGCCCGGCGACGAAGGCTTCGTTGTAGGGATTTGGGAGTAGGAGGACATTACTCTGGTACGCTCGGGGTTAAAAATGTCACGGTAGGCGATTGGCCTTTTATAGCAAAAGGGTTGGGGGAAGTGCGATGGTGGCACTTTAAAGACGCGACTGGGCACAGAAAAGCATGGAACGCTTTAAAGTGTCTAAGAATCTGTCTAGGGGCCGGTGACCTCGACGCCTCACGGAGTAAACGGACTCAACGTACGGCGGAGTATGTCTTACCGGCGGTTGTATGCAGCCACTGCTAACTACAAACAACGCACACCCAGGAGATCCTTGTCCTTATCTAACTTCTTGTTGATATAATTGATAGAATCAGGCGTTACTTTGCGGAAATCCATTATAATAAATTATATTAATAGTTATTTTGCAACCATCCGCTAAATAAAATAAAATGATGTGTCTTACCTAGTGTGAAGAGCACTTCCCGCCCTCCCTTAATTGCGTGCACTAATCCCGTCACCACCAATCCCAGCACCACTACTCCCAACATCACTACGCCCAACACCACTACTCCCAACACCACTACTCTCAACACCACTACTCTCAACACCACTATTCTAGAAAAGACACACCATCGATGATAATGCGACACGTGTTTCGCCTCTACACGAGACATCTTCAGGTGATGTTGTAGACTAGTCAACATTTTATTTAATTTAGCGGATGATTGCAAAATAACTATTAATATCGTTTATATTGTTGATATGTCTTATCAATAATTAAAACATCAATCAAAAGTGCTTAAAGCGAATAAAATATTTTTAATTCCTTATTTAATTTGTATTAAATAGCCGATTACTATGAAATGCATCACTCTAAGTTAATACAAATATTCTTACTTTTCTCAGAAATTAGCGAATGATGTTTTATAAATAATTATAAGTTTTAATGTTTATCTTTGAGACACAATGAAATATTTAATGAAATGTTTATCTTGCGACGTCAACAATCTTTAAGAAACAATGAAATGTTTAATGAGATGTTTATCTCGCGTCGCCTACAATGGAATTATCGGCTTTTGGATTACTAAAGATTGAACCATTTCTTGCTTGAATCTTTCTAAGTCGAAAGATTAATCTGATTGAA